CGATCAGCAGTGATGTGGTGGTTCACTTTTACACTGTGATCTGTAGCCTATAGTTCGGCTTTAGCTTCTAACTATCTTTGTCTTTTTAACCTGTTGTTGCTGCTGAGTCAGTTTGACATCCTGGATATATCCTTCAAACACAGACTGTAGACCCCTCTGTCTGCTTCTCTCTGGAATCACTGGTTCATTTTCCCAAAAATATGATAATATTTCTGCAGTTAGTGACAGTGTGGACTCCATGCTTAGTCCAACAGCTTGTTGGACCATCAACAAGGGTCGGGGCTTAGGGAAAGGTTAATTACAGCAGAGATAATTCATTGATTGACAAAAAAATTGACTACTTTGCCACTCGCTAGCTCCCTCTGTTCCATGGTGATGATCTGCTGCTTTTCTGTTTTTCAAGTTCTTGTAAACTGAATATCTTTTTGGTTTTTGATGATGATGATTACTGGAGGAATATAATCTGCAGATTAATTAATAATTAAAGAAATGAAATGTCCTGAGGATGAAGTGAGAAGGGCCGAGCCCAGATTGTTTAAACACTGAATTTACCTTTTAGGGCACCTTTGTTCACTCTGGCATTAAATGTCTATAAATGTGATATGATAATACACGTTTTCCACATATCCTCTCCCTCAGTTGCAGAAAGAATATTTTATAAAATCGTACTGAGGCAGAAACTCTAACTTTGACATCTGGTAAATGACATCCCGAAAATGTGCTCACACTGTGTTCTGTGTCTCTGTCAGTCCGCAGAGTGCTAAAGGTCGCAATGATACCTTCTACCTGACTCCTGAGCCTGTGGTGGCTCCAAACAGCCCCATCTGGTACTCAACTCAACCTATCCCAAAAGAACAGCTGGAGCAGATGCTCGCCCGCATCCTCGTCGTCCGCGAAATCCAGGAAGCCATTAACATGTCGGAGAGCGTGCACTAGTTGGACCGGAGGAGAAGGATAAATGGACTAGACTCTTCCTCTTTCTCTTCACCCAGCCTTTGATTGCTCATTATTAGTAGTTTTCTATTCTCTCACACCCTCTTGTGGTCTTAAAGGGTGGCATGTATATGTTTATATTCACTATGTGTGAGCATATCTTACTTTCACGGACTGTACATAAAACCAATACAGATAATAATCTGTCTTATGGAGGCAATCTCTCGACTTTACCACCAAGTTAGTTTCTTTCTGTTTGGCCAAAGGATGTAGTGTCTAATCTTTTTATTGGACCTGAACTCTAATTTAAATGTTATTTTAACTGTTGGTTCTCCTTACCAATAGTCTGGAATTTTCCCTTCCCCATTTTGTTTTAATCTGTAATATATTTCATATATATTTTCACTGGGGTTGGCCTGCGCTACGCTGCTTTTCATAAACATCCCTCTCTGTTGCTCTTCTTCCCCTCATCTGCCTTGGTCACTGTTGAGTGTCACAGTGAATACCTCAGTGGTATTAAGACTGCATTAAGGAGCCAAACATAGGCTCAAAGCTAATTTTCAACTTTCTCCCTTTTTCTTTGTATTTCCACTCTCGTCTGTCTCGAGCTGAATCCACATGCAGACACACTGAACTCTGGAGATGACTCGCTTGTTAGTGAATGCTGTTTGCTTGCTGTTGGACTAGCTCGGCAGCCTTGAATCACACTAGGACACAGACTTGACTGCAATACAGTGTCGCCACTCGCCCTGCAGCTACTAGCACTTGCCACACGGTGGAGACGTTGGCAGACGGAGGGGCGAAGGCTGCCAACTGCTGCTGGATCCTCCTCTCTCTCTGTCCTGTCCATTGCAAACTCCAAAACTCACCCGAAGAGGGATCTGTTGTATCATACATGTTTATTACATGACAGATGAGAGACTCTAAAAAAGTGGGTTAGCCCTTTTATGTTCTATAATGTATAATACTCATAGCTCCTTCATGTACTGTAATGGGTTTCAGTCATCTAAGGAGAATGGCAGTGCCTGTGTGTTTTTGAAACATGACCTTTTTTGTACAGCCACTATACCATGTGTCTGCCTTTCTAGTGAGTCTATTAATTCTGCTGCACGTGCATCAGTAAGTACTGACAGCCTGCGTTGTGTGACATAGAATGGTGCACAATCATTATTCACAAACACAAACAACCAAATAAAAGTTCTCCAGTAGCATGACCTCATAAGTGAAGGCAGAGAAAAACTAAAACAATGAATCATCCAGACATATTTGGTAGCTGCGCACAGTACATACCAATCTGATCTTTTACTTAAGTAAAAATAGTAATACCACAGTAGAGATGCAATGATCACTTGATTCATTTTCAACTATTAAATTACTCAACAACTAATTTGATAATCGAGTCTGTCAAAGTCAAAATTCTCTTAAATGTGAATATTTCCGGGTGTCTTTACTCTGTGACAGTAAGCTGAATATCTTTGGGTTGTGGACAAAACCAGACATTAAGGGTTGTCAGCTTGAGCTTTGGGCACGTCCAACTGATGGTGAGAGGCCCTGGGGAAGACCCAGAACACGCTGGAGGGATTATGTATCTCGTCTGGCCTTGAAACACCTCAGGATCCCTCAGGAGGAGCTGGAAAGCGTTGCTGGGGAAAGGGACGTCTGGAATACTTTGCTCAGCCTGCTTCTTCCACAACCCAGCTTCAGATAAGCAGTTGAAAATGGATGGATGGATTTTGGGCTTTGGTAAACATTGGTTGACATTTTTACTCTTTCATAGACCAATCAAATAATTAATTGAGAAGAAAATCAACAGATTAATCTATAGTGAACGTACTCATTAGTTGCTGTCCTTAACCTCAGTGTGAAAACACTGTTACAGTTAAATGTACTGCATTCAAAACTTAACCTTAGTAAGAGTACAAAAGTATCATCATGAAAATGTATGTAGAATAGCAAAAGTAAATGTGCAGAATGGGCCATTTCTGAATCATATATACTATATTATTGAATTATAATTATTGATGCATTAATCCTCTGAGAATCGCCACCTTAACGTGGTGGAGGGGTTTGTGTGTCCCTGTGAACCTGGGAGCTGTGTTGACCAGGGCCTGTAGGGTTTCCCAAGGCAAAGTGTTCCCAGAGGAGGGGCCAGACTAAGAGTGATTCAAGAAGACTGATGAAACAGCATATACGGACTTTGAGGCCCTCACTCAGTATGGAGACACTGGGCCTCCGCCCTGGGGCCCGGTCAGTCTCAGCCCGAATAGATAACATGGAGCCGTTGCCCTGTGGGGACAGGATTCAGTGTGCGGGGCGGCAGGTAGGGGCGTGGCCTAGGGTGTGCTGATCCCTTGCATCGCGGGCTGGCTCTGGGGATGTCTGTCACCTCTCTGGTGGGGAAGGAGCTGGAGCTGGTGTGGGAGGTGGAGCGATACCAACTGGTAGGAGGCCCCGGGGCAGACCCAGAACACCCAGGAGGGATTACATATCTCATCTGGCCTGGGAACACCTTGAGGTCCCCCAGGAGGAGCTGGAAAGTGTTGCTGGGGAGAGGGATGTCTGGGGTGCTTTGCTTGGCTTGCTGCCCCCGCGACCCGGCCCCAGATAAGGGGATGAAAATGGATGGATGGATGCATTAATGTGTTCATCACTTTAATGTAAAGGTGGAACTCATTTTAATTAGTTAATAATACTGCTGGGTAGTTTAGATTTACACACCGTGATCAGTTAGTTGATTTATATTTAGTAACAACAGTAAAGATATCAAATAAATGTAGCTGAGTAAAAAGTACAATATTTCCCATTGAGACGCGGAGTAGAAATAGAAGGTAACATAAAATACAAATACTCAAGTAAAGTACAAGTACCTCAAAATTGTACTTAAGTAGAGTACTTGAGTAAATGTCCTTAGTTACATTCCACTTGTAGTAGTCAGCTCTGTATTTAAATCAGTGTACAGGGAGCAGCCTCGTCATTCTCCTTGTTAATCTCATGGTAAGTCATTCACAGTGGAGGATCAGGTTCGACCTGTACGGCAGGTTCTTCCTTTATGTTTTTCCTCATTGTATCAGGAGGAACTGCAGCTTCTGTGGTTTCTTCACCAGCATGTATTTGCATGTTGTCAGGCCAGTTTCCCGCCTGCAGGGCTCGACGTCGAACAACACACACAGCATTATTTCTGCACTCTCCTTCCTTCTTAAATGCTGTATAAAGGCATACATGATGTTCTTGCTTGTTTTTGTATTCTCAGCTTTACAGCATGACTTCAGGAGGCGTGTGAGCCAGGATTAAACAGAGACGAGGAAGGCAGTAACCTCCTCAGCAGCTTCCCGGGGTTTAAAATCTGCTGCATTGTGTTCTGTGGTTGGTCCGCAGGAGGTGTCTGTCGCTGACGGTGACGTCTCCTCCTCCCCGCTTGGCCCCCCCGTCCTGAGGATCTGTGGGGCTGATCTTGAATGTTGTGGTTAATATTTGAACCGGCTCTCTGAATTGGTGGCCTGCTGGGAAGGAGAAGACGCCTAATTAAAATGTCAACTTACGTTACAATGACTAATTATGCATGCTGCCTGTGCCGAAATTGAGTTTGGTGTGTGATGGTGCTCAGTGGGAGCTTATTTCTGTGTTCTCACCTTGCTGAGGTTCCTCCACTGAGCCAGTGCAGCAGACACTGATGAACAAACATGTACTGCTCCTGAGTACACACAGAGGAATGAGCAGGTAATGAGGATCTCATGTTTGGGACCAAACAATACAGCACACAGTGTTAATGAGTACAGAGATGACAGATACATGAGCGCCATAGTGAGACAGCGATGGAATACGTGACAGTGAATAGCAAGTGTGCATTTAAACACACTTCATAATACCGTCTAAACAAGAATACAGTCTATTCAACTGAATATTAAGTACAATTTTAAGTTTGATTCTGAGGCACCTTGTATTTTGATTTTCTACTACTTTATACTTATTACAAGAGAATTCACTTCAAGGACATGTGTTTATCACATTGTTACACAGCACATTAAGGAAGTAGTTTGGCATTTTTGGGAGTAGGTTTTTTAGTTTCATTACAGAGATGAGAATGTTAATGCCACTGCTGTTTTTGTGCACAGCTACTTCCAGCAATAGGGAGAGCTGTTTTCTCAGTTCCAGTCTTAATTCCAGTAAGATAACTACCATCATGAGGACTTTCAATTTTGATAAAAGGGTGTAATTACCTACAATTTAAATACTTGTAGCCTATACTTGAGTGTTTCCGTTTTATGTTAGTTATACCAGGCTACATTTGTCTAAAAGCTATAGTTTGTCACTTTCAAATTATTTTACGTACAAAACACATGATTAGTTTATAAAATTTGATTTGATTTGTTATCCTGTAGATTCAATTACCCATAAAAATGTAGCTTCACAAAAAATTAACAGCAATGTCTCTTTCCAGAAGTCATGACCCGGTTACTCAAGATAACCCACAGACCTTGTTGTGAGCAGTTTCATGTAGGAACTATTTTCTTTCTACTGAATTACATCAGCCAACCGTGTTACCACACAGAAGGAAGTGTGCATCTATAAAACATTGATGGCATCTTCCTTGGCTGAGCTGTTGCCTTAGCTAGCTCAGCAGCGCTAGGTGAGCTAGCAGTAGATGCACGCTTCCTTCTGCATGGTGATACAACTGGCGGCTGTAGTTTGGTAGTGTTACCTCTCTGTGTGACAATTTACCAGCTCTGAACCGTAGTTGGGAACATGCTGGCTTATTAACATTAATTTTAGCTTGGCTTGTTATTGGCTGGTAACTAGCTTCTAACAGTCTGGACCACTCTGCTGAAGGAAGGATGGCGAGGCGTTTAGGTGCCATTCACCAACATTGGCTTTATCGCAGTCTTCGCCACAAAACAATAAACATGGCCTTCTCATGAGGTCGAACAGTAGCCCTGAGCTCATCTAGACGCTTCTACTGACTATCATTACTCTTTGCCGCCTGCTGCCTTTACCATGACACCCCAAGAGAGCTTCTTCCCCCCATATATTCATTGAAGTACATGTCACACCCTCAAAGGTTACCCACAGGGCCACCACCCTTAAAGGGCAAGAAAAGGGTGAGCCGGTAACAATAGCAAAAAAATGGTTCCTACATGAAACTGCTCACAACAAGGTATTTGGATTATTTTGAGTAATGAGGTCATGATTTCTGGAAAGAGACATTGCTGTTGAGTTTTTCATGCGTATTTTTTGGCACTATGAGCACCACAAGCTGAGTGCCATCTAGCTCCATTACACTGGAGAGAAGGCAGACATCTCTATGGTTGTTATCTCCAACACTCTGTAACTCACACCAAAATAATCAAGACTGATATATAGGTCTGCTGGTAAGATGAAAAATATGTGTTTTTGATTGTAGGGTGAACTGCCCCTTTAAGTGCATTAATACTTTTGTACTTGAGTACAATTTTGAGCGCAGGACTTTTACTGGTAAAGGAGTATTGTTTTGCTCTGTAATTGTTACTTTTACTTCAGTAAAAAAATCTCAATACTCAGGTTTTTTCCTGTTTCCTCCCCAGGTGCTGCCCTCCCCCTTTTCTCAGCGTGCAGAGAGTGGCTGAACGCACCTGTGCTTAATCACTCAGCAAGGACGTGGTGGTTAAAAAGCTTGAAGAAGCAAATAGTCGGAGCCAGTGGGCCAGTGTGGCAGCAGAGGTGCTGTGTGTGGGTCACAGTTTTAAGAAGCTGGAGTTTATAGTGCACCTGAGTCAGTGATCTTTACTCTCGTCTAGAAGGAGTATGGTGAACTTTTTGTTGAATCATTCATTCAGTGTTTTATTTACTAAATGCTTTCTTTGTTTAAAGAAAATAGTGTTATGTAAGCACTTTAAAGACTTTTTGTAAACCTTCATTTGCCTGTTTTTGTCAAATAAACCAGCACCTTCATTTATACACCTACTTTCGATTGTCCTTTTCCTTTTTCCAGCTTACATTTTATTGTTACTGTGAGGTTTACAAGTTAATTCATGTGTTTTAGTAGTCTGCTAAAAATATATTGAAAGTGTTTATACAGTTACTATGGAAGTGTAACCAGAAACTGTTGTTGTGAAGCTGCTGAAGTGTGGAGAATAATAAAGTGCTGATTAAGAGAATATCCGTCTCCATCCTGCTGTGCACTCTCAACAAGAGTGACACAACTACCACACATCGAACCCTCACGTTACATTACTTCCCTCATCCCCTGAGCGTGTTTGAGGAACAAATCAGTAGACTGACCAGATTCTGGACCATCCACATGCGATGTAGCCGTAGATCCTCCACAGCAGCCCGTATATCAGGCTGGATGCCCCTCGCACACAGCTGCATCAGCCACAGCAGCGTCACAAACGTTCCTGAACGCCCCACACCTGCACTGAAACACATAAGCAGAGGATTCACTTTCAACATCTTGAAAGGGGCACATTTTTAACATAAGTGAGTAATGGGTTTCGTGAGGGAGAGGGTGATGGGCTGAAGTTCAGAGGTCACACCTGCAGTGTACCACGGCCGGCCCCAGGCGTGGAATTTCCTCCAATTTCTGCCGCACATGCTCAGTGAAGGCGCAGAGTGAGGATGGGTCTTTAGGAACGCTCCGGTCCGGCCAGGCAGGGTAGTAGTAGTGTGTGATTATCCTGACTGTTGGACAGTCTCTCTGAAACACAAACACTTGCCTTCAAGCCATCCACAAGGACTTCTTCTTCTGTGACTGATTACTGGCGCAGTCAGCGCACAGAAGTCAACAGCAGCAGTTTACAACGTACCAGAGGGGATGATGGATGTGTCTATCACTCACCTGTCTGAGGTTAATGGTGGTGATAAAATAATCTGGACCTTGTTTGCGGGTCACTGTTGTCACTTGGATCAGTCCATGATAAACTGTCCCTTGTTCCAGAGGCCAATACTTGTCACACAGTACCTGCACACAGAAATAAGGGACAGGGTCAGATTATTAAAGATGTGTAAGGTATTAACTGATAGTAAGTATCTTAAAGGTCCAGTGTGTAGGATTGATTGGCAAGAATGGAGCTAAATATGATGAGTTTGTTTTCTTCAGTGTATAATCACCTGAAAATAAGAATGTCTGGGTTTTGTTACCTTAGAATGAGCCGTTTAAATCTACATAGAGAGCAAGCTCTCATCTATGGAGTCTGCCCATAGACTGTAAAAACAATAGATGGAACTACATGATGTCACCCATTGGTTTGAAGACTCCTGTTTGGCATTCCTACTGCCACCATCTTGGTGTTTTGAAGTCCGTAGTGACCATATTTGGGCGAGAGGTTGGCGCGGTGGAGGAGCGAGGGGTGGATTTGACTGAAAAGCTGAGGACACTATCGGCAGACAGCCTGTCACTCAAAGCGGCCTGCCCGAAATTATATGCCACACCCATGTCATGAGGGTGGGATATTAGCTGTAGAGAGCAAAACATTTTTTGTATCAGGCTGTAAACATGTTTATTTCTGCTGTAAAGTTGGGCATTTTAACATGGGGGTCTCTGGGGATTGACTTGCTACTAGTGCCAGCCTCAAGTGGCCATCAGAGGAACTGCAGGTTTTGGCACTTTTCATTGGCTTCATTTTCAGGCCTGGAGGTTGCCCCTTGAGTCAGCTATGTTGCACTGCCATATAACCAAACACTGGCTTAAGATAGGACCATTTGTGTTTTCGTGTCCACCACTACAGTTAGCAGCCCCTCCGCAACGAGCCAAATAGCATTGGGAAAACAGTAAATTTTAATGTGAAACTGATTTATCCAGTGTTGCAACCAGTTCAAATCACCAGCTCCATTTATTTTGGACAGGAAGAGACCTCTGCAGAGAATTCGGCTGTGGGTAAAAAACTCCTGGATGTCTTGATCTTACGTTATCAAAGACAAAAGGTGATCACATGTTAGCAAGTGCTGGGCTAGTGGCCCATTTCTGATGAGCCAAACGGTAGCCATATTTCCATCAGCCTGTTTAGATGCGCATCTAGAAGTATCGCATGAGAAAATTATGATGGAAACGCCAAAATTCGAATTAAAATCCCCTGATTCGCACAAACTAAAATACGCTCGCTTTAGCCGGGTTTTGGTTGATTCGAAAAAATGTTGATTCGCAAAACAGGGGATGGAAACAGTTATGTTCGAATTATGTCTGACGTAGCGCACCTCTCTCCATGGTGATATCCACACTCCGGGTCGGGAAGGCAGTAATGCATTTACAAGCTGGTTGCCGGTTCTGCGGAAAACTTGCTTGAGTTCATAGTTTTCACCAAAGTCCGTACATTTAATGGAAACACACAGGATTCATATTTCTTTTAATGCGCACTTCCCAATAATTCGAATCACTTTTGGATGGAAACATAGCTATTGTCAGAGGAACACTGATTTGTAATGTTCAACTGCTCTTTTCAGTGTTTTTTTCTGGTTTTAATCACCGGGTCCGGTTGTTTTGGAGGAAGAGACCTCTGCAGAAAATTTGGCTCATAGTAAAAACCTCCTGACCAATGAACACTGAAGTTTCAGCAATCTACAATCCTTACTGCTAGTGCCACTAAATCCGACACACTACCCCTTTAAAGGAATAGTTTAACATTTTGGAAAATTCACTTGTTTGCTTTCTTGATGAGACTTAGATGAGAAGATTTATACTACTTTCAAGTCTGTACAGGAAATATAAAGCTGAAGTCAGCAGCCAGTTATCTTGACACAAAGACTAGAAACAAGTGGAGACAGCTAGCCTGGCTCTGTCTGAAGATAAACAAGATCTGCCTATTGGCACTCCAATAGCTCACTAATGGGCATGTGCTGAAACAAGTATTTCCCCCTATTATCAGTCTTTGATGCTACGTCTTATGTCTCCCGGCTCTAGCTTCAAATTTACTCTACAAACATAAGAGTGGGGTCAATCTTTTCCTCAGAATGTCTGATGAATTTAATAAAATAAGGAAAAATATTTCATCAGAGGATTCAGAGGCAAAAAGCATGCAACAGGCACACACACACACACACACACACACATAAACTGAATGTGTCTCACTATGTCCTTGCATCTCAGAGCTGTCACCATGACGATTATCCTGACATTTTGCTCCCACACCATCCTCCAGAAGTCAGCGATGGTGTTGTGCAAAGGACCCTGGGTGCAGATGAAGTCTCTTTCTGATCCTCCACCCTGAATACAGACACACAGTCATTAAGAGACGCAGACAGATGTGGAGACAGACAGACAGACAGACAGACAGGTGGTAAAACAGGAAGACAGAGTTCTGAAAATGACAGACAAAATAAATATGAGGAGGCCGATGAGTTCTTACAGGCACAAAATTTGCGTTGATGTAGTCAGTGTGTGGTTGGGAGTTCTGAATGGACAGCCTTACGCGACAGTGGTCATCTATAGATGAAAGCAGATGAATACAAGTTTAATAAACTGCCACACACAGTCGCTGTGATCTGTATTAGCATGATTTGCACTTACATGGCAGGATGTAGGGGTATCTGTTCTTTTCTCTGTTGGCCGGTAAGTCACCTGCTCTGGAGGGGAGGTCTTTACCAACTCTCTCAAGCTCCTTCACAGAGACAAAGATGTTATTGCGTATGACAAACACTTCTAGCTTCTCAGATCAGAAATCTAATACACTTTTAAAACATACCTCAAACTCCTGCTTAAAGCCTCTGTTGTCGTTGGCGGCGAGAGTCTGGCATCTCGAATTAAACGCCTGCAGAATTTGCACTCTTGGGAAAGTTTGCACCCTGTGAGACATGATTGTGTTACGTTAAACCATTTTAAGACCATTGATGCACTCTGACAATGAGGATATGTCTGGTATCAGTTGTGACAATGTCATGACAGCTGCTATTGTTTTCACCTTGTAAGTCCGTGTGTATTGTAATGGCAAAAATGTGCTCCAGGTGGCACCTGTTGTAGCGAGAACTGACACAGAAGCCGTTTTGAGGGCTCTGGCAGGTGTTATTGTCTGTCTGACTTTATCAATGCCATAGTGTCACAACTGAGCAAGATGCAGTCACAAAACTTTACAGGTGTCTAGTTAAGCTCAAAATGAACATCAAGTTCCAAGATTGGTGTGGCCCAAGCAAAAGGGCCGGAAATAGGGGGTTAGGAATTAGGGAAGGACCTTCCACTTTACGCCCCTGGCTCACATCTGTTATAAATTGCGGATCACTGTTTTGCAGCTGGAGTGATCCAGTCATAAGATGGTCTCTAGTTTCTTTGTGATATCAAAAACACATTAATGGGGCACTCAGTAGCTCACCTGGTAGAGCAGGCGCCCCATGTACAAAGGCTTTGGGTTTGACTCGACCCTTGGCCCTTTGCTGCATGTCATTCCCCCTCTCTCACCTCCTCATGCTAGAACTGTCCTGCTGAATAAAGGCAAAAATATGTTCTGTTTTCTCTTTTATTTGATAGGAATGATGGAAGTTAACATCATTCCAATACAGCGTATGAAACTGATGTGTTGCACAGAGAGTATAATCTCCTGAGACCCTGTGTCGTCATATGAGGACATCACATTTTGGGTTTACTTGACCTTATACTTTATTCTACTTAACTTAGACATGTTGTCCTCGTTCATGGACATTTTTTTGTGCCATCTAGTGGCAGTAAGAGCACAGTGGCAAAACAAAACAAAATGGCTGCCATCCCTGCCAAGTCAGTCTAACACAAAAATGGACAAAACCTGATCACATTTTATGGTTGAAACTTGTTAATATATGATTAATAATGTTTGTAGTTTTATATGGGCGACACTGTTAATTAGGAAGTACTCCTTTGAAGACATTAGGACTTTAATATTGTCTCGTTTGAAGACATTGGGACTTAATTATTTTTTTCAGTGTATAGTTTTTTTTATATTTATTGGGTCCTACTGATCCCACATAGCTAGGAGAAATTAAGAAAGCATACCAAACAAAAGTTCAGGTCTCAGGAGGATATAGCTATGGTTAATTGCCTTTCACACTGCTTCTTGTGACTCTCTTACTCTCTTGTCTTTGAATGAATATGGAAAGAGGCTCAGGAGACAGACCATTGATACATTTAAAAACTAATTTCAGGAAACAAAAGTTAATGAAGCTGTCAAAGCTGAAAAGATTGTTTCGCTCCAATATGCGACAGTGATGCCACTGGACAGGCGTTTTGTCCTTTATTTTCCAGTACCTGATTGTATAAAGATGTAAGGTGTCTGATTGTAGATGGTGATGCTTGAGCCCATACTGCCATGTATTTATAAAAAATAATATAAATGAGCAGTAGTGTTTCAATGACTGACATATTCCTGAATTACAATGAACATTAGCAGTGTATGCATTTGAGTTGATCACATCCACCGTGCTTTCATAAATACTCACAAGCGCACCAATGTTGAAGCTGAAAAATAGTCCCCAATAAATGCAGCCTTTACTATTTCTTTTCTAAAATTTTAGGACATTTTTTTAAGTAAAAGTAAAGTTCAGTTTTTATTGAAACTGTTTTAGAAGTGTTGATACAACGGTCTGATGACTTTGAAGGATGTAGTCTGTGGTACTGTTAAACTGTATTGCATCATACAACTGGGTGTTTCTCTTATTTTACGTATACCCTCATTGATATAAATGGGGTGAACGAAATAATAGAAACACCTTTCAGCATAATGCAATACAGTTAAACAGCATCACAAACAACCAGCATCCAAATAACCCATTAAGTTGAATCAACAACTCTCTAAAACAGCTAAATTGAACACTATAACCTTAACGAAGGTCAGATTAATCTGAGGCCTGTTGCACTAGACCAGATTAGCTTTGTCTTGGTGAACCCGCTCAGTTTAGTGTTTTTGTGACCTTTTTTTAAAGATTAACATCCTCAGTAATGAGTCCAGGGCTGCGTGCCACAGACAAGGAAGTTGGAAAATGTTGAAAGACAAACTGACACATTGTTGGCTTTGTTCTTTTCATGGGATTTGTTGACAGCAGCAAAAACATAGTGTATTTTCAGAATGCTACAAGAAACTTTGTCCTTACCTCATGTTGCCTGCCGTGGTTAACCTCACACTTTAAATTAGCTGGAACTCATGGTGTTGAACGATGCCAGATGAATTTCAGTGTTGGTGCTGTGGGAACAAATCAAATCCTATCTTATAAAGTACATTTTTATACATTTAAATTAATAAATCAACAGGCAATAGATCCATCTAAGTGAGAATGTATGGCTGAGAACATTGAGTCTACGTCTTGTTTCCCCTCCCCCTGCTTGTTTTAATGTTTTCCTCCTGAACACAGGTATGTGACACCACAGCAAACACTTACAACACACAGTCATACAGATGAGAGAACAGCTGTATTACATGTGATGAAGTTAGTTGCCTTCACAGATGTATTTGCATTTAAGCCCTCAATTTAGTTTGACTTTTATAACAAACCAAGAACTTGATACATTCCAATCTCACTACATGTCCTGCACACATTATAGTAGAAGACATACCTGACCAGCACAGCCCAACTTTCACACGCAGCAATTTGTAAAACTGATCCGACAAGAAACAAAAACTGCTCCAACAAGTTTTGAACCCCAAACAGCAACAGGAGAAGGACACAGCTCAGAGTCTCAACAGCTTCAATGTGTTTGTTTCAGGATTACCTTTCCAAACAGGCCTCTGCTCAATGATTGGAGTCTGAAGGGAAGGAGAACTCGACTGCTTCCCTCCAAGTCATCTTAAGGTTGTCTGGTTTTAATAATCCTCTCTCCCTTGACTGTGTGTGTGTGTCTCTCTTTCAAGGGTGGAGGGAGTGGAATGGGTGGAGACAGTGGGTGGAGAGAGGAACACTAAACCTATGGGAAGGGTGTCAGTTTGTGATGGCCTCAGCTATTCTTTGTACTTACTGTGTCATTAGTTGCTTTTTGAAAACAACATGTTGAGGGAATACTTCACCCCAGTGGTTTAAAGTAGTTTCAATGGACCCTGGTGTGCCCTGGTTACCAGCTGTGACACACACACACACACACACACGCACACACACACACACACACACACACACACACAGAGGGAAAGAGTTTTAGGCGTATATATATTTTAACAATAGTGTGTCTTAGTGCTGCTTTTTGCCCAGTTTGTCAGCCTTAGGAGATTTTTTTTTTTTTTAAATTATTTATTTATTTATTTTTTTACCCAAACACCAACGCCCGAATGGGAACATTTTTCTTTTGTTTTTTTAGTTTTTTTTCTCTTTTTTAATGCTAAATATTCATCGTTTTCTTTCCTTTTTTTTCACATATTTGCATTTAGAAGTGGAGCTCAGTATATGCAGGTGGTGATTACATACAACACAACCAATACACAAACAAACAGCATCACTCTTTCATAAAAAAGACTCCCCAGAAACAAACAAACACAAATCATCAGACAAAAACTAAACAATGCACTTCACACAACACAGGGACGAATAATCATACAATAGAAATTTGATATTGGCATAACAATATTTAATAATATTCCATATCTTTTCTCACCACCCCTCACCTTTTTTTTCAAGAATTTTTTTGGGCATTTTGCCTTTAATGGACAGGACAGGGGGGCCCACATGCTGGATTTGGAACTCGGGCTGCTGCGGCAACAGCCTTGTGCATGGGGCACCTGCTCTACCCACTAAGCCACCGACGCCCCACCACCCCTCAGCTTTAATAAACTTTTCCCATCCTTCTAAATCTGTCAGTCTTGAGAGACTTTGCACCTGAACTAGCTACTGTAGATCATATCGTCTCATTACATGATTAAGACTTGATACTGGGCAACATCAACATACATGTTACTCAGCAATCATCATCTTTATATGACAAAAAATACAAGAGAAAACAGGAACTTATTAGTTCAACTAAAAAAAATTTATAGATATTTATGTCTTTCACAGTTAATGTAGAATAAGCATATAATTTGTTGTAGATTTATGTTATTTTACAAAAACAGAAAACCATGATGGAGATAGGTTTGCCTTTTTTTAGGGCACATATAGAAAATTGTACCATTGTTGATTTACATAAGTTCTTCTGTGAACACAGGCAGCAATCAGCCCGTCCACCCCATGGGCCCCAGTGCAACCCCACTGCCTCCACTGTCTATATTTATGCCCCTGCTTCACCCCCAAAATGACCATTTGTATATCAGTATCTCACCCTGTGCTATGTTGAAATTATGAAGAAAAGGCCAGTTTACAAACTGTCACACAACTTATGCAGTATAATCCAAGTGTCATTTCTCCAGTCATATGCTTAGGACATCCGTAACACCTGCGTTTTTGCTAAATCATTGCTATTTAATTAAAACACTTCCATCAAGAATTATGTTCATATTTTTTAAAACTGAAAAATCATCATTATGTAGAGTCCATAATGACAACGAGGAAGACCAGCTTATTTTCTTTTTGCCCATATGTTGCAGGTTTGTCGATCAGTATGGGGGTACTCAGCATTTGTTGTATATTTACAACTTTTAAACATTACATAGCAAAAAGTATTGCTACAAACCATGGCAGAGTAGCACAACACAGCATGACATGGGAGAGTGGGAATATATTGAACTATATCCACACTCTACCTGTCAGATGTATATTTCAGTTTTTAAATCTACCAGTAGGCGACTATCAACCTAATTATTTGAATTACTGACGTCATTCTATCAATTTTATTTTAGCTCTGTCATTTTATGTGGCCCAGCTATTTTCATCCGGCACGCCGAGTTTGGGCCGATGCTGGGCCAGGTCATTTCTGATAATAGCCCCCAGTGAGGGCTGTCAGCAGCTGGAATCGGCCAGCTGATTTGGCTCAAATCTGGGGCATCATTCATGCTGACTCTCTCATCAGTCTCAATAAGCTTTATTGGCATGACATTTCTTATACAGCATGCCGAGTCTGGGCCGTTGCTGGGCCAGGTCATTTCTGATAACGGCCCTCAGCGTTGGCAGTGTTAGCAGCCGTAATTGGGCCAGCTGATTTGGTTCTGGGGCGTCAATCATGCCGAGTCTCACCTGAGTTAGGCAACCACACCTGGCCTGGCTTATTCATCAGGCATACCAAGTTCAGGCCGATTCTGGGCCAGGTCATTTTGGCAACCTGGGCAGACATGTAGGTAACCATCCATAGTATAGTAAAACAACTGGTTTGCACATCAATAACAGCTAGAACACATTATTGGCTATCTGTTGCTTGTTTATTGTTTGTTTGTTTTGTTTTGCCCTGTTTTTTCCCATCTTGTCTACATTCCTGTCTCCATCTACCCCCATGTATGCAGTCTGGAACTACTTTTTTTTGTACTGTACTTTGCACTCACTAATAAAAAACAGGAAAGAAAAGTAAGGTAGGGTAGTAAGGTTTATTTTTAAAAACTTTTAACCCATCTGCCCACAGTGTAAGTGCGCCATCATTTGGTGTCACTACCTTCATGTAAATCAGGTCACGCGTCTGATTGTAATACTGTAAACAGGTGTGACAGTCCATAAGGTGCACTGCGCCTGCGTGTTCTCAGCAGAAGGAAGAAAGAACTCGAGTGTTTTCGGGTTTGATAAGCTTTTATGAGCGCAGTGTCTGAAGCTGATTGGGCGGCGGCAGAAAAAGGAAGTAGGCTTAAAAGCATGTTGTGTTATTCTCCAGCGGAAACCAGAGAGAACGCAGGTCGAGTGGCGACAATGTGAGACATTCACCGACAAGGTAAAGCTTTCAAACTTGTCACTGCACAGCCCGGTGAGATACAAAAGCACGAGGGGGTGGGGCAGACATGTGAATCTTTAACTTCTCAGATTTAACGAAGAGATTTAACAGGTCACGCGCTTCCTGTTTTTTGGGGAGTGAGTCTGTAGAGAGAAATAAAGGCAGCATGTCATCCTCACAGATCAAAGACAGCTGCAAACACACCGACATGGATCATGCAAGACCACAGGACACTCAGCAGAGCAAGGTAAAAAAAAAATCATTTCCGGGAGTGGAGAGCTGCCTCAGTGCTGACTGTTGTCTCAAGTGCGTCATGTACTTTACAGACAGTGTGGTAACCAAATAGATCTACTCTCTCCTTCAGCCACTCGGAACAGAGCTGAATCATTAGCAAAGGGCCAGACGAGGACGCCAAGAAGTGCCTCACAGTACAAATACAAGACAGAGTATATTAACCACAGGAACACCACAGAAAGTGGAAAAGTGTCACATGAGGGCACCACTGAGCATCACGCACACACATTAATATAATGATATGGCTGGTCCTGTGTGCTGTTGTACACTATTTCCAACACACTGAGTATTATTAACACATTTAATTTTACCACAGTTTCATGCACAAGACAGAGCATGTGTTTGTGTAGTGTAGGACAGTGGTGGAAGAAGTACTCAAATGTAAAAGTGGTAAAAGCCCTGCCATCCTAACTGTACTTAAAGGTCCAGTATGATTTAGCAGCATCTGTTAGCAGACATGGTATATTTATTCATAATCGTTCATAATCACCTACGCATTACTTTAGAATGGGTCGTTTATATCTACATATGAAGCAGGTCATACTGTAAATAAAGATGGAGAACATGACAGCTCCTTAAAGTGAAGCCAAAACATCCCCATTGCCCCCTGGTGGCTGGCTGCAGTACAGGTCATAAAGCCCGCCTTCTCCATTTTAGTAAAAAGGACATGAGCCAAACTATAAACTCAAAGTACACGTTGAATAAATTTTTCTGTTGTTCATGGCAGTTCTTATCATCCCGATGTTTGTTCAAGTGTTTGTTTTTCTAACAAGGTTGGTTTTCAGTAGTTATTTAATGCTATACAGTGCCGAAGTCACGCCCTTTCCGGTAGAGCTCATGGGACCTTAGATCGGAAAAAATATGAATGGCAGTGAATGTGGAGAGTAATATTATCTTTTGTTCCTGTTTGAGTTGTGACATGAAATCTAAATATGTTGTTAATGATTTTAAAACATAAATGTTAAGGTCAAGAAAGTCGTACTTTGTGGTAAAACTGTTGAGATATAAGCTTTTTAATTATCAAGACTCGAGTACACAGGAGGAGGTCGCGTATGTGACGTCATAGCTTTCGCTCGCTTCCTGCAGCTTGGCCTCCCCGCTGAAATTCCACTGTTTTATGATTAATCGATTTATGGTTGAAGATGTCTGTGTGTTTTGTGCCAGGTTGCAGTCACTCCAAGCTGCAGGAAGTGAGCAAAAGCTATGACGTCACATACGCAACCGCCTCCTGTGTAGTTTTTCTAATTACGTTTTTTTTCAAAAGCTTATATCTCAACAGTTTTACCACAAAGTATGACTTTCTTGACCTTAAAATTTATGTTTTAAATTCATTAACGACATATTTGGATTTCATGTCACAACTCAAATGGGACCAAAAGATAATATTTCTCTTCTCATTCACTGCCATTCATATTTTTTCTGATCTAAGGTCCCATGAGCTTCACCGGAAGGGGCGTGACTTCGGCACTCTATAAAACCCGGATTTGAAGGCACAATTGACAGCTGTGTGTTCCAATCAGTGTGCTCGCACAAAATGGTGCTGCTCACAATGGTTGGACAGGTGTTTGGGTGGGAACTCCTCCACCGCAGAGGTCGCTAATGTGCAGACTCTGGCTCCAAATGACGTCACCAGCACAAGATGGCTGCAGCTGTATCTGGCATATTTTGTAGTAGCCTTGAACGTAAAAACCAAACACTGGCTCTACATAGGCCCATTCACATCTTTGTGTTGGCCACCGTGGTTCTCCTCCATGCTGAGACATGTTTATCTGCAGACACATTCAGTTTGTAGCGTACAGGACAGGCCCGTACAAACCACGCCCATCACTAGCACAAGACAAATGCTGTGTCTCAAATCACATACTTCCGTTAGCACACTTCTATGCAGTATACTATGTACTTATTGGTGTAGTGTGCAAATTTCGACAGGGTAGTGTTGTCTCAAACCAAACACGGCTGTTGTGCATGTATAGGAAATGACGATCACAAATTAGCTAGTTTGCAAACTAGCATTAGCATTTGCGTTATCGTTCGCGGTACCAAATCATGACTGCTAAACTAACCCAATAAACATACTGCTAGCTTATACCCGACAACAGTTTAGTGGTGCTTAGTGCAAAAAACACATGTAGCGATGTTCACGGTCGCACAGTCCTCGGCCACCATTTCCAGTTTGAAAAGTGGTCCCCCCTTCCGCTACATAGCCAAGATGGCGACTATTAAGGGCGAGAAGTGTCCATAGTTCCACACTCAACTTCTTGACCGTTTTGAGTGCACCATCCACCTACTCATAGTGCACTGCATTTTTCCATACTTCTCAGTGTGAACGCACTTATGCACTCAAAATATTAAGCGTAAGTACAGAAGTACACGATTTGAGACACAGCAAAAGTCTGAATCCAAATGTCCAAACTTCACCGCACTTGCAGACTTGCCCACAATTCATTGCAATATGGACGTGACATTATTCTTTTTCAATAGCTGACTATAAAAGACAGAACTTATGTCTATGTAAAACAGTTAAATACACTATTAAAACAATACTTGAATTGTTTAGGCCAGAAATAATAATCAGCAACATCATGATACAGAAACATGTAGAAATACAGGCTATAGAGGGTCAGTAAAATGCATTGTATTATTGCAGCCTACCGTATTGGTTGCG